CGTAGTTATTATGATTGATAATGATGCTACTGGTCTTGCACGCGATCTTTTGACTAGTTCTCTACTACCGAAGTGAATGGTAAACGACAACTCCCGAGCTAGCTTTCGTGCTATCACTACAATTCAGCTTTCGCCACTTGCCTCTTTGCGAAAGCCACGGTCTTGCCAGCCCGTTTTGGCACATTTAATGTTTTCATGTACATGTTGTGCAGCTGGTCTTTCTCCAGTGAAGCAACAGACGCGACCTGATGTTGATGTGTCAAGCAGGGGCACTTGCCGCCTGTGCATGCGCACGTTGGGAATCTGGACGAGCTGGAATCGCACGCGCTGAAGGCAGACTTCGAGAAGAACTTCCCGGTGGGGCCGCTTGTCCGCAGCACTTTCAGTTTACTTTGTCATGGCCCAAATTCCTGTTCTTCGTGCGACCTTCGCGGCCTTGATCAACGGTCCTCCCCGGGCCTCAGCCCTTATGAGAGCTGTCAGGTTAACAATGATTGATCAAAGTCTACACAGACAAGCTGGCGTACAGTACACGTGCCCCATTGTGCCCCCTCGAAGGATTTTGTTGGCTTTGACACAGGTACCAAGGTGAAGAAGGCGCACACGCGCTGGTTTTTCTATTCCGTGCAGCGCTCGTCAGGATTCACTTCAGAGTTGCTGATCAGACCCGCAGCTTCTGTGCTGCACGCAAGTGGGCATGCTCCACTGCAGATTCACATTCCGAACTTCTGAACGTTCTGAGCGCCGCAGGCGCCTGGCACACTTGCATGCAGACTCGCATGAACGCCTCCTGGTCAAGGGGCTCTTTGTTCTCCTCTGCGCCTCTGAGTTCCTAACTGCCAGGCAAGGCTCTTGCCCAGGCAAAGGGACCCAGGACTGCGGTAAGGCAGTTGACTTGCATTTTCGTCACCAGCATTTCTGGCTGCGAATCTGCAGCTCTGTGCGTGGATTGTCCCGTTGGCTGTCCTGATATGACCTGATGCCAAGCAGTAGCAACCTGATAATCTATGATAAACTTACAGCGTAGTCAGTTTCAATGGCATGCACAAGCGCGGTCATCTGGAGCCTGAGCACGTGTCGCATTCGAGGATAACCAGAGATACGAAAGCTAGCCCGGTTTAACCCGTTGAGTTCAAATGGAGAAAGGTTTGAGCAAGGCCCCCAAACATAATCTGCCCGTGATCTTTGCTGTAAGAGCAGTGAACACAACCGAAGGGATAGCGAGAATGGAACCATTGCAAACTGCGGCCGTACTGGCAATGAGAGGTGAGGATCACGCATCGCAACCATGTTTGCTGAGTCGCCAGCACAGCTTCTGCAGCTGGATCTTAGCTGCTTCTCGCGTGTCCTGGTGCTGCTCATGCTGGCGTCCAGCTGTGTGACTGTGCTTCGGTAAGTCCTGCTCCAGAGCCTCGCTTTTTGCACGCTTCTTGCACAACAGCACCTGTTCAATCTTGGGCCACAAGCTGGTCTTCAGGATCGTGTTTCGATTTGCAAACGAGTGACGAGTCCAAAAAGCTGAGAGATGAACGCCCGCAATGCAATCAATGAGAGGACTTCGTGGATGAAAGCACTCCTCTACAATCGAACCGGCAGGCAGCAAATCATCCTTTGCATGCCTTGAACGGGTGCCGTGCGTCCTCAAATTCGGGCAATTCCTCCAAGCCACCACCCTGCTACCAGCACTTCGTTATGCAAACTCACGTTACTGGTTGCTCGCAATTTCTCACAGCGTAATAGATATGGCAGTTGGGCATGGTCCACCTTGGAAGAGTTGCGGGGTGACAGCTGCTTCTCCAGAAATGCCTGCCGACGTCTCCATGTTCGAAGGCATGTCTGATTCTGACAGCACTGCCAAAGACATGCCTGACCTCGCAGTAGACTTTCTGGCTTCTTGTGCCTGTGGTGTTACCTTCGAAGATGGGCCTGAACTGGCGCAACATTTTCGCGAAGGTCGAAATCGACGGGCAAAGGTCCCGACCTCTCCGAAAGGATCACTTCGCCTGCCTCAAGTCAAAGCACGAAGCCCGTCACAGAGAGAAAGTGGGTCAAGCGGACCTTCAAGGCGCAGCTCGCCTGCAGGAACCGCCTAGGCACCGAAGCTGTGAGGCCAGCAGATTCAGTAATGAGATGAGAGCACTGCCCCTTCTCCCCATCGTCCACCTCGAGCTTGCTCTTGCTGCAGGTTAACCGCATGGTCGGCGCTGATGTCGGATGGGAACCTGCCTTCAGCTGCACTTTGTTCGAGGTCTTGCCCACGTACTTCTGGATCTGCAAGAAGAGAAAGATCGAAAAAGTGCTTTCTTGGGCCGGTGTGCTTCTCAAGCCAGGTTACACGGACATGCCTCACGCGGACGGACTTTATGTTCTCCGGAAAACGCCGTCATTGCTCTGCTACTGGAAGCTACTGCATTCGTTTACCTTGATCACTCGGCACCATTCTCAAGGCCTCTTACTCTCGAGAGGCCCAGCTGCGCCATGGCATGTGCTGCCGCTGCGCGAACCATGGGCACTTCATCTGTCTGGCAAGACTCGATCTCGTCAGCAAAGGCTGCCCCGTAGTCGCCAAACTTTCCGAGTGCCTCGCAGGCAGCTGCCCGAGCATGGGGGTCCTGGTTTCCGAGCTCTCCAGCAATGGCACTTGCGTAGCCCTGTCCCACGGTGTCCATGGTTGCCAAAGCTCGCAGCGCTGCTGCTCGAACAACACCGTACTCATCCTCTAGGCACTTGAAGACCTGTGAGCAGTACTTCTTGGCAATGTCGGGACAGCTTGCCAAAGCTTCCAAGGCAGCTTCTCGCACTGAGGGCGCCTCATCTTTGAACAAATCAGGAAGATTATCCATCACGTCTTGGGCTTGGAGGGCTGCGATGGCCTGGCAGGCCTTCAATCGGACGATGTACACGTCATCTTCCATGGTTGCCATGATGCTCGTAGACTGCTTGCTCGCAGCTTCACCCATCTCCATCAGTGCCTCCAGAGCACATAGCCTCACCTCGTAGGCTTTGTCTCTCAGGCACATGGCCATGTCTGACACATGGCTGCTTGCGTTCATAAGGGCAAGAGCCGCTAGCGCAGCACACTTGGGACGGCGAAGAGTCGCCGGCGACCTGAGACTTCCTCCGCCAACCGCCAGGTAGCTCTCCGAGCTGTCTTCAGCATCATCCCCCAGAAGTTTTGCTACTTCTGACGCATGGGAAGATGCTTGCGGACCTAGCTTTCCAAGGCTGAGGGCGGCAGAACAGCGAATTCCCGGATCTGCATCCTTCAGCAACGTGGCAATGTAGGGAGCTCCTGCTTGTGAGCTAAGGACGGGCTCACTGGCAGCTGCCAAGGTGTTTGCGGCAGCTTGTCTTGTCAAGCTGTCCTTGTCCTTGAGGCAGGAGGTTATCTCTTGGATGTATTTTTGCACGACCCCACTGCCCAGCTTTCCAAGGGCACTGACTGCGGCGAAGCGAGTCTTTGGATCCTGAAGCTTTTTGGCTATGCGTGGGGCTTCTTGCACGCCTTGGGGAAGGTGGCCCAAAGCTTGGCATGCTGCTGCGACAACGGCAGCAGAGCTGTCGTCTAGGTACTTGGCCAGTGTCGTCGCCTCACTCTCGGCACCGACAGCGCCCAAAGCTGCGATGACGGCTGCTTGTGTTGGCTCGTCCAAAGATCGCATCAGGCAGGTTGTCAAGTGGCCCTCGTATGCAGCAGCTTGCTTTCCGAACTGAGCCAAAGCTGTTGCCGAAGCTTGCACAACCTCTGGGCTTCTGTTCAAGCCTGATGCTATTTGCATCATGTACTTCATGCCTTCCTGTCCCATGTCACCCAAAGCTGTTATCGCTGCTGCAGCCACCTCATCGTTCCGATCATGGACCATGGTTCCGACCGTGGTGGCATAGCCCATGTCCGCAGCTGCCTTCTCTCCCCTGCTGCCCAAATCCAGCAGCCACTGCACAAGCTCTTCGGGTTTGTGCGTGTTCTCGGTCCTTTGCAAGGACTGCTCTTTCACGAACCTCGTCAGCTTATCCATGCTCTTGAGGTGAGCGTCCCACCGCTTTCTCTATATACGCATGAGGGCTAGGGCCTGCCTTGAGCCACGAGGCACAGATGCCACGGCACTGCACTCTGGCAAGACAGCTTCTAGTGACTCCAGTGGCTAGCATGCAAGCAGATGGAAATTGCAAGACTTCTCATCGAGCCTCTTCGAAAGCAAACGCCTCGCAGCTTCGCTAAGATCAGGTGGAAAAGCAGACATTGAAAGCTGATCTCCAACTGGAAGGCCTGGTTCTGTGAGAGCGTTGCTGAGAACATGGCTCAGAACAGCTACAATCAGAATGTCCTGTGCTCTTGCGAAGCCTTACAGTATTACAATGACAGCCATGGGCCTTCATGTGAACTCATACAGCCTGCAACCCGCGACACAAACCCCCACACCTTCCTACTACGCCCAGCACGGCAGAGCAAAGGACGTCAGGGGTCGCGGTGCTTCGGATACGCGCAGGTGCTTTCATGCACAAGCTCTTGACCGTGTCGCTCACACAGCTCTGCGCGTTTTGTATGGACTGCAGTGCCATGTCGCAGCTGTATCCAAACATGCGGGAGAGCTGAGCGGGAGGCCTCTGCAAAAGGCGAAGAAAGGTTGAGCTCGGACCTTTCAGGCTGATTTGCCTGACCTCCAGAAATCTGCTGCTCTGTTCCTGTTGACAGGCCAGAACTAACAAAGCTTGAGGAGAAACTGATGATGCCCCCGACAAGGCTTCCAGGTTTTGCGATGCCCCTAGTCTACCAATGGCAATAGTAATGGTGTTCAGGTTCTCCCTGTTCCACGGTCACCTATGCACCAAGAAATTGCCACTTGCCACAGCATTCACAGCTCTTCGGCTTGCGTGTTCCTATCTGGTTCTCCTTCTGGCAGATATCGGCTCGCTGCCAGACCACAAAAAGCGAGTGGCATTTTTTGGGAACAACAGCTTCTGTATCCCCGACGAACCGAAGACTGTACAGCGAGGAGCTACTACGACCCTGGCCCAGGTTCTAGTGCCTCTGACCCTCTCAGACTGGGCGTAGGGCAGCTCTGGTCGTTATCGCTACACCGCAGCTTGTTGATGCCAGGCCTTGGTGGTTGCACACCTCTTCAATCCAAGAAAGGATCCCCAAACCCGACTCCGAGGTGTCGGCAGCTCCTTCAGCTGCTCAGGAATTCGGCCCAATTGCTCCGGCAATCGACGGAACATATCGCCGACATCTTGTGAGAGCTGAGGATGAGTTGCCCAGTAGTGAAGTGCCAGTGGCAAAACCACCTGAGATCTCAACAGCTGGTCGGCGACAGCAGGCTTTGGCGAGGTTTTCTGAGATGGACACCGTTATCAATGGATAGAGCAGCAGCAGCGCAGACTTCCCTGCTCTTCCGTTCATGCCCCTGCCGTCGTGGGGCAGTCAGCTACCTCTCGCCTCCTCTGCATGTTGCTCCCAGGTATTCAGACAGGTGCGGAGTTGTCTGATGCAATGCTATCGTGCCTGGGTGGACAGCATGTGCAAATCAAGAGCCAAAGCAGGCCTGAACGACAATGTCACTGAGACTCACGACATGTTATCATGGCCGACATTCATGCTTGAGAGGCGAAAGCTGGTGAGCAGTGCCTTGCCTAGGTTTGACACCACGGAGTTCAGGGGAGCATACGTCCTCGTCCACATCAGAAAGCTCATGTAGATGCGACAGCTGCAGCTGCTTGTGCCTCGCACGTTACAAAACTTACGCGTGGGCATGTAGGCAGGCATGTGCATACATGTGTACGTATGCACATACGTATAGTACTACGACGTAGAAACCACTTTCATGCATACCCACCTACCTACATACATGAATACAGTGTAGAAGTTAGTTGCACAAACTCATGCATGCATGCATACATACATACACGCCTACATACACCAAGCGTTTGACTTAGACACTCATCTACGCACATGTTTGCTTTCCAGAGTTTGCATAGGCGGGCAGTCCTGAGAGCAAACAGCGGCACGAGAACGCACAGAATGAAGCCTGTCGCCTCCAAGTTCACAAGTTTAGTGGCTTTGGCAAATCATTCTGGGACCTATGCCGTGACTCGGGCGCTGACCATCAAATGCCACGCACGCTTCACCGGTGCCACAACCTCGGCGCAAAGGATTGCCAGTGGGCATCTCTGGAACCTATGAGATCTTGACAGACACATCACTGGAGCGGGACGGTTTCATGGACAGCCGAGGTGAGATGTTCTTGGCTCCTGCATTCTGAATACATGATGCAAGTCCTTGCCTCTTCTCTCCGGTCGGCTCCTCGCAGCAAAGCTCGCCCCGGTAGAAGCTGCTGCAGCGCTTCCGGTCCTTGGGGCAATCAGAAGACTTGAAGAGGATGGCCTCACACCCTCAGCTCCTGTTCCTCACAAACGCCTGAGACTTATCCGCAACAAGATGTGGTGAGCCTTAGCCGAAGACTGCACTACGTTGCCCATCGTGTCCGTCGCAGCTCGTACCAAATGCGGTACCTCCCAAGCTGGCAACTTGGGGCTATCAGAGCTCAACTGCTGCCTGCTGCCTGCACTGCTCTACACGTGTTCGTGTTGCAAACGGCTGGCAGAAGGTGCGGAAACCCTGCGGCCCTGCATGGCCCTGGCCCTGGCCCTGCGCCTGCTCTCGTCCAGTTTGAACTACCGTGGCAGCTCCACGGCCGAGGTCCTTCACGTCGTTGCCGACCTGAGACTCCAGCAACCCGCTTAGGATTCTAGCAGCTACAGTAGTAGCTGGGAGAGAGAGAGAGAGAGAGAGAGAGAGGGCGAGCAGGTGGCGAGTGCTTACAGTCCCGTTGCGGGGGACTCAGAATAAACGAACGAAGGGATCGCGGACGAAACACATGACGGGACAGGCCCGATGTGAGTGCTGAGGACTTGGGGGGGAGGACATCTGAGAACATAGATTGGACTGAGGGCACGAGCCTCAACGACCTCGTTCTTCAGAGTGCCCAGTATCTGCAGAGGAAGAATTCATTTCTGACGACGACTGGTTGGCCCCGTGAGGCGGCAACTCCGTGTTTCTTCACACTGTACTTGGTCACGTTGACCTCATCCTGGACTGTGCATTGAATCGAGTCTCGTCTTATGCATCACCGCTGCATCGAACCCTCCGTCGTGGAGTGAACTGAGAGGTCCTGGAAATACTCTTGCCACGATCGGACTTCGAAGTATTGCTCTGCAACGACCTGTGTCAAACCAGAAGCACGGACATGAACCTTCCTCCCCCTTCTGGTGAAGTGCCTCACTACTTTCCAAGGCCGCATTTCCTAGCAGCTCAAGCTCCTGGCATTGCAGTGGCAGCATTTCTGAGGCTTTTGGGCTTCTAGCCTGCCGGCCGCTCCTCATCACGGCCGTTCTGGCTTTGGTAGAGCTCCTTGACTTCTCGGTATGATTCTTCGGAGGCGACGAGCCTGTTCAGGCTCTGCAGGGACATATCGAAGTATGGGGCCATGGTAAGCGCAAGTTAGCACATCGCATGCCTCAAGTACACGTCGCAAATGTCTGAGGTCGTCATGCCGCCTCCATTGCCAACGATCTCAAATCATGTGTTTTAGCCTAGCATTCCCAAGCATACCTTTGTCTGCATGTGGCTATAAGCTCCAGGTTCCGGCCTCCCGCCTGCCGCGCGGCGATTCCTGAGCCGGCGCGCTTTCTCGTTCTTTTTCGCTGCAGTGTTTTCAGAAGCAAAGCCCGAGCATCCCGGCGCTGCTGCAAAGCCACAGTGTCTACTTTTACCCGGTCGACTGCCTTGAGAACCTTAGTGTCTTGGCCACATTGCAGCTGTGGAAATCAGAACGTTGCAGGCAGCTTCTGATGCACCAAGATAGAAGATGGCAAGAGTCGACGTTGCGCCAAACCCGGGTTGCGGACCATCTCACGCGTGATGCGACCCGCGGGTGGGCCTGGCGCGAAGGAGCAGCGGAATGAACGGCTGCGGAGCTGCACGCGAACTCTGCCTGGCATCTGGGGAGCTCCTGCCGGCACCAGGTCCCTGGACTGACCTCTTTGCGAATAAGAAGCTTGCACAAAAGGCGGAGACTCCCCAACGCAAGAATTCAAACTAAGTGGTGTGCTGGGTGCTGGGAGACTGCGTGTGGACCCGCTGAGTTGCGCGGCCGGCGCAGCCTCAATGAATGCAGTAAATTCGATAAACGGCACAGATGGAGGGTATTCAGGGATATTCATGGCTTTATTGCGAAAGAACAGTCTGCTCACCATGCACTGAAACTAGAGGGATCCTGCTGCACATTGCGATCGCCTGCAATCCATCTACTGCCAGCCAGTCCTGCATCGACTCAGACTTTTTCTGATGGCGCTTTGCTGTCTAGCGAGCACGATGGGAAGCGGATCTGGGTCTGAACGTCGAAGCTGTTCCCTTCTCGACAACACCATCGGAAGCCATGAAAAGCGTCTTGCGAGCTCTCTCTGAATTTCCGCGATGTTCAGGTGCAAAGGCGACGATCAGCCGCCCGAGCCAGCTTCGCTCCGCCATGCTTCGTCCGACCAGCCCGGAGTTCGTCCAAAGAACAGCACGTCTTTTCACGAAGTCCGCAGGTTCACAAACGGCAGGACGCGGCGCTGTACTGTCTGATTGCTGTATGTCCGGGAAGCCCAGGCTGCCACGTGTTGTTGGAGCTCTGCTCCTGGCGTCACGAGGAAATGCATCAGTTCAGCCTTCCGTGTCATTTCAACGTCCTGAGTGCGGTCAGGAGTCAGGACAGGTAACGGGGCTGGAAGGACGAATGCTGATGCGACCTCCACCTGTGCCAAAACGGTTCCGTGTAAACGCTGGGCCTACAAGTAGTTTGTCTGCGCCTGCACCCACCGCAGCAATCCCACGCAACTCAGGCTTGGGCCATGCTCGCTTCGGTCGCGAAGTTGAAGAAAGTGGTGCGTATAGACCAGAGACTGGCAAAGACTCCCTTCTCAGTGGGTTCAAAGCCATACTTTGCAACGATGGGCATCTGCAATGGTAGACAGACCTCTCGCTTGGCTTTCTGTTGGAGCGCCCGCTTCTCGCCGGCGGCCGCCCAGGCTGCTTCCAACCTTCGCTGAAAGCCCTCCTCCATGTAAACCTGAGCAGCATAGCGCAGCGACTTTGTAGGCCTTTAGGCCGTTCTGTGACATGAGCAACTTCCCTTTGGGCCCTGGCCTCCAGCAAATCATCATGCATCATGATGGCCTGTTGCCGCGTCAGCTTCACGTCCACCGACTTCTCGCAAAGCTTCGATGTTTCACTCCTGGCTCAAACGCAACAACGATTCCGACATGTCATCCGGTGCTGGATCAACCGTGGCAGACTTGCCACAGTCACATCCACTTGAAAGGGTCCTGCCCCCAAGGCATAGTACAAGTTCAAAAGACAGTGAACTATCCGCGCAGTGCAAGAAATCCAGCAAACACCAATTCAAGAAACCAGTCCCGTACATCAACACGCAAGCTATGCTTGCAGTTGAAATCAATAACAGCTTAGCACAACCAAGTAACATAGACAGGAAGACATGCTGACAGGTGGGGCTCGTTACCCGCATCAACATAATTCGCGACTGCTTCCGTGAGCAGTTGAAGGCCGAAGACTGCCGGGAGATGAGCATCATGCTGGTGGTACCAGTGCCGTCTCGCTCTCTCAGAAGACCCATGTCAGCTTGGAGGGCACGTAAAGGAAATGTTTCCGCCGGGTCCCTGCTTAGCAAATGGCTCTGCGCTCTGACAGCGAAGCCTTCAAGCCCAAAAGACCTGCCCGTTGCCAGCGAGTGATCTTGAAGATGGGGTGTGCCCTCGGGGGGTGGTGGGCGAGGATGCGGGCACTGTTTGGTCCTTAACGCGCCCCGGGGTGCGGGGCTTGCTACATTGCTATATGTTTGACTTTGTGTGTGCCGCGCGGTGTCTTCTTTGTTTCAGTCCTGCGGTCTAGACTAGAGCTTTCGCAGTTTGAAGCTTCTGCAGGGTGTCGGTTTAGGTTCGGCATTTGGGGTTTGGGCTGTAAGCTTCAGAGCTTTGGGCCAGGCTTGAGGGTTTGCGAACATCTGCGTCCTTCTTTGCAGCCTCGACTGGGATGCGTGGTCATGTGGTTGATGGTATGAAACGACGTCACAAGTCCTTGTTTGTAAAAAACCAATAAATTCGAAGGAGTATGAAGATGTCAGAGATCTCGGGTTGCCGGATCCACCGTTTTGAAAATTATTTCGTGACCAGCTGCACGTAGTCGTATTCTTCCACGAATATCACTCCTACCCACCCCCCTCCCCAATGGCACAATTATGTAACCCCCCCCACATTCTTGAAGCTTCAAACACCCTGGCACAACTTTCAATCAAGTGTAAAAGAGCAACTCACACTGTGCAGGACGGAAGGAGTCTGTTGCTCCCTGCACCGAGCCTAAGGCAACGGCTGAAAGATCATGGGCCTTTCCCCGGCGGTCCTCGCATCGCTCATTTGCTTGACCACCTCCAGAAATTGTGTGGAAGAGCTGCCCAAGGAGTTGCGATGCCTTGGTTGTGCGGGAGAATCGAAAGGCAGAAGCAAATGCTTTTGACCCCAAGGCGGGGGCACTGGTGCGCGTTTTTTTGCTTAGCTCCGGGCTCAGTCTCCATGGCATCAGCAATGGAAGACCACCAGGGTCCTTCGGCACGAAGGCGTCTGAGACCGTCCAAGTTCAGTGGATGGCCAGGGACTGACAGCCAGTGTGAAGCGCCGTAGGATCTCCAGGCAAGGTCTGGGCAAGCAGCACCATATGTCAAGCAAGCGGTGTTCAGCTGTGGCTCAGAATCTTTGCCGCTGGCAGTGGCTCCTAGACAGAGGATGTAGCGGTTTCCCGAACGCGTGGGAAAGCTGTGTTGCACTCGCTCGGCTGCGAAGCACCTACAAATTGACTGACAACTGATAGGGCGCCAGTCCGATGCCCTCTCCCCACAACTCTTGCCAGTCTTGCCGCTCACCCTCTCAAAGAAATTCACTTTGCTGAAAAGATCCATATCATCAATCACGACGAGGCCTGCATGCACAAATTGACGCTCCAAAACAACCAGCTCCTCCAGCAAAGGTACTTCCGAAAAGGCACCGCCTGTCACTGAACCCGAGTAGTGTGCATCGAGGTAGAAAACAGCTGGGCCCATTAAGCCAGGCAGGATCTTCTCCAGCACATGTGCCGAATGTCCAAGGTGAAAGTGAATCGGATGCGCTGCCTTCCAAGATGCAAGCTTCGCGGCCTCGAAGAGCTTGCTGTCCACTTCTATTGTATGGAGCTCATCAAAGTGTGCTGCCAGTGCGACCACAGTTTGACCCAAAAAAGTACCGGTTTCCACGAACCTTCGAAAATGACGGCAGCTAAATCCATGCTCTTCGCACTCATCAAATATAGCTTCCAGGTCTGCGAGAGACAATGTCCAGTTCTCTTCTTGAAGCTGTGTGCTTGCCCAACCCGCTGGTTTCATGCCGTCTCTTAGAGTAAGCCCATGCTTCTCGAAGGCCGAGCGGCTTTCAAACGAGCTGAGTGCTGCTTCTGTCAGCGCAGACTGCCCAATGCAACCCAGGTCTACACTAAACGTACCGCATGTTGTGAATTGTGAAAGCGGGGACTGGGGACAGCTGAACCCGAGCTCAACAAAGAAATTGCCGCAAGCCCCCGCAGCTGGACAGGACGCCGTTCAACATGAGATGTGCACAGCCCAAGCCCGGTACCATCGGCGCAGGCTGCAGCTCCTTCAGGCCAGCTTGAACGAACTTGGACCGTAGCAAGGCTCCAAACCTCTCTTTTTCAAAAGGCTTGCGGCGGCTCCTCACTTTTTCAGGCGTGTCTCTGAAACAATTTGCAAGGGTGACAGCACTCTGTCCTCCAGCGTCAGCAGTCGCAGGTTCTTCTTGGCAACAACCTGACACTTGGCACGTCTTCAGGAGGACACGCGCAAGCTTCTGCATGGACCGATGTTGATATGACAAAAACTGCCGTGACTGCAGTGTGTGCTGGCATTGCGCCTTCACAGTGTTGTCGGAGTGGAGCCGCACACCTGTCAACATCGAGAAATCATCATCAGGCACAAAGTCAACGTGTTGCAATAGAGTTATGGATGCTTGCTTCGAAGGCTTTGAGCCTCCTCACAATGAAACCTGTGCAAACACGCTGTGGATTTCTGCAAACTCGATCTTGGCTCTCTGCTTGCATGAGCCGGTTAATCACACCAACGTCCCGTGCACTTGCCTTGCCAAGGGCAGGTATGTGAGTGACAACAGATCATGCCCTCCTTTCGCCCCCGCTGTTTGGCATCAAGTGGTGGCATGAAGTTGCAAGCAAATTATCTTCCTGTATCCGCTGCATGACGGCCTGCGTCAAGATGTCTAGATCCGTTTGACATGCCACGTCGCGGCCCATGAACCCGACCGGAAGGGGAACGGAACTGCAACCAGTGGTTGGGGACAAGCTACATACACCATACATGCCTTCAAGTTGATCACCAACAGCCTCCGACTGCAACGAGCACTTCTCGACATTACAAATACAGAGTGGTCGAATCTGGTTCCGCAGTTTGAGACGGACATAGTTACAACTCATACAAGCCCGAAGTCGCATCCATGGCAGGCGCACGGTATCTCAGCTGCTTGTCATCGAAGCCTCGTGCCGACTCAAATGATTTGTCGACATTCACTCGCTTCGCAGATAGTTCCGGGGCCATTACCAATGATTTCACCGCGTAGGCCGTTCAAGGTCTGCAAACGCAAGGCGACAACCATGCTGACCGAACTGGGAGCACTAAAGTGCGCCTGAGCTTTCTGGAGTCCATGCAGCTCCACTTGCGCTCCATTTGCTAGCCAGTGAGAGTCACCTGCAAGCAGCAAAACACCCACAAACCGATGCGCACTGATGGGATGCCGCGGCCCACGGCCTTCGCTGCGAAGATCAGGCAGTTTGCAGCCTCAGAGGCGAAGTTTCGAGCGAGGAAAAACGGCACGGCCGACAAGTGCGGTGGGCTCGTGCCCGGCTGAGTGCCCGGCTCACTTCTTCTTGCATCTGCCGGAGCGCCTCTGCCTCTGCAAGGGGCAGCGGCCCGCGGGCAGGGACCGGCTTCGGCTTGCAGCTTCATCGCTTTTCCTCATTCACTCCGAAGCGGCACTTGGACTTCGAGGTTGAACCCTCCGCGCCCGGTCTTGTCTTCGAACGAATTGCTGAAAACTCGCACTCTGCAAAATCCTTCGTCCTGACCTCAGTGGCAGAGGGCCCCTGTCACAGCAAGAAGCCTCCCAACTGTCGCTCAGATCCCGTGAGGATGCCATCCTGAATCCTGACCGCAAGCCCAACCAAGCGACCAGGTCTGGTGTAGTTGTCCCGGAACTTCTGCATGGCCTCGAGCGGCACCTACAGCCAGCAGGCAAGGCAGAACTCGCTGTGGGCTTCGCATGGCTTCACATCCGGGCATATCCAGGCCTGCCGATCAGCCGGCCGAGCCGAGTTGGAAGCAAGCGCTGCTTCGAAGTCTCTCTCCTGAGCGCAACAGGGGTGGACGAGTGGCTCTCCGGAAACGTCCTCGTCAGCTCCTGTAGTTTGGTCGTCCGAGTGCCAGCGTTCTGCAAACTTGCGAAATGAGTACACAGGTTGGTTGCCATGCATCGATGGCCACGATCTCGACTGGGACCTCGATCTCGTAGCTTTTCAGATTCTGCAAGAATTGTGTGCGATGTCTGGCTGTGTACCTTGGGCTGTCTCGGCAGGGCAAGTCCAGTGTGCAATGCTAAAGTCGTGACTGAATCGGAGCTGCAACAAGTCGTCGAAGAAAACGGCGCGCTCTTCTCGACCGTGCGCAGCGATCCAGGTGCTCTTGCCAGCCTGATCAAACAATCTTGCTTGGAAGGGTGCTGACGCGTGAATATACATCAAATTTGTGAACTGGACAAACGGTGATCTACAACCCGAGAGCCATGCGCCGGGACATCCACAAGTGCAAACAATCCTGCCAAGCTGACACATCAGCTCAAGCTACCAGAGTGGCTTACATGGTCCGCTTCCTCCGGCACTGGCCGCTCTGCACCAACAGCTTCAATCTGAGGACGCACGGTAGAGACAGCTGTGCGAGGATGCAAGCGCCGTCAGCAACTTTAAAATTTAAGTGGATCTGGCCTCTCAAAGCAAAGCTTCTTTGCGAGCTCGACACGCTCCGGGGAAAATGCATACACCCCGTCTTCGTAGAGGAACTTATCCACACTTAGCACCTGTCGAATGCCGTGTTGAACAATTCTGGCGAGACGCCGGTCGTCGTCCAGCACCAAAGATGTAAGGCTAACTGCAGCATCCTGACTTGCAGGAGAGCTTCGTCAGCATTAGGCTCGACAGCCATCAGAAACGTCAGCTGACGATGAGGCACAGCTCTGCTGGGAGGTTTGCTGTTCTGGTCCCTGTGTATTCACCTTACCTCCATGTTTTTGTTGGCTGTGTTGCCTTGCACATGATGCACGTCCTCTGAGTACGTTCGCTCATTTAGCGCCATGCGCATGTATGTCTGCAATGTGGTCTACCTTTGAGACTTTGAGACGAGGCATGGAGAAGTCAGTCAGTCAGTTGGTGTACTGGAGAGATGGCCACGCTCTGCCGCTCATTGGTGCGCCTCTTCGGCAGACAGGTCGCCCTTTGCCGGCTGAGCCATGCCAGTGACGACGCCCGGCCGCGGCAGGTCGGCAGCTGCTTGCGCTATGCTTGCTTGTGTGTGACGCTGTTACTACAAGTAGTAGCTGTTTCCCAGAAGAAGGTAGAGAGGTAGGGGCGATGCGTGCAAATGACGCAGTTACCCTGGGCTTGTGCACGGCTATCGACGGAGTTGGATGTGTTCCGAAGCTTGAAGCCGGCAGGTGACAGGCGAAGGTCTTGTTTTCCGATATCATAGACGCTGTCTGCAATTACAAGCCGTGTTGAGACTTGATTGCACACACAGGCCATGGCTCCATGCATCGACTACCAGTAATCTTGAAAAAGTAGACTCTGCAACACTGTAAACACGTGACCACTTCCAAGGCGCTGAGTCTGAAGAGGTTCATGCATGACAATTTTTCGGCTAGGTATGTCCGGCGCTGCCAGAGTTTTGCATGCTGGCAGTGAAGCAGCCGCGCATGCAGTGCGACGTGCAGCTTCAGCGCTGTCGGTGCGGTCAACTCGCTGCTCTCGACTGGAAGTGGTGAATCTTCCGCAACTCCTGAATGCCACACGTAAGCCCCAACTGTCAAAGGACAAGCTCAACAGCCTCTGATTCATGTGGGCTTGCAGTTGCGATGAGCTGAGTGCAGCTGAAGGAAGGATCCTTCTCGTTGTACACCTTCTGCTTCGTCACGTTACCTCTCGGCTCCTGCACGCGGCAGTTTTTCAGGCAGACCCCTGATGACTGTCCTTTTCCCACCTGCATTGGAATTAAGCTTTGAAGCTTGAGTGGCTCCCAGCAAAGCGGGTGCCCTCTGGTAAAAAACACCGGCATAACCCGCAACGCAGTCTGAAAGTGCAGTGGCACCTTTGCCGGAGAACTTCCGTGCTGCGCAGCCACCTAAGAATCTGAACTCGAGCAGTAAAGTCACGCATGCATTGTGACCTATCTGGTTATCTAGAATTAATCTCAGGGCTATACCGGGTTTGCCGCCCTCAGGCCGTTGTTGTCCCTTGCCTCGGCATTCTTCATCAGTACATATCAGTACCGTACCAGTTTCAGTCTCTACCCGAAAGGAAGCAGGGGGCCTTTGCCCACATCTGCAGGTGCGTGCCACTTGCCTCCAGCCAGGCGCGCCTCTCTGGCGACAGCCTCAACCACATGTTGGCTTGGGCGTGGACTCGCCGTCCGGCCTCCTGCATAGTGCAAGTCGACAAATTATCGACTGTGAGCTGGAAGGCACCATCCTGCCTTGGTCATGAAAGTGACCAAAATCTTCAGGGCCGCGCTTGCCTTAAGCAGTCGAACATCATAACCTTTGTCAGTGTCGGAACATACTCCAGGACAAGCTAGAGAGCTTTCTTCCCTGCATTGGCAAGTTTGTCTTTTGGCCATACTTAAGCCTTACAGTAAGCCCTTTACTCCAATCTCTTTTTAATCTGAAGCCGTGTCTCCTGCAGCCGGTGATGCGACGCCAAAGGCTCAACAACACACATCCTTCATCGCGATGCAAAGTCTTCTATCTGCACAGTCAAAGGTGTTTGCATCTTTATCGTTTCCGGACGAACTCCGTTAACGTCCAGAATGATCCAACAAGAAGAAACCAACATAGAGTCCGGGAGACAGTCAAAATTTAAGTCCACATAACATCGCAACTGAGGCCAAGACCAGGAAGCCCCTTTGTCGAAAAGCGGCTGGCAGATGCACTGGCATGGCTAGGGTCAGCAGGAGGGCCTCACTGGCAACATGCTCGCGTATCCTGACTGTACGCTTCTCCCACCCTGCCGCAAGCTAGGGCTCTCACCGCCTTTGGGTGCAGACTTGCCCATGGCCGCAACTGGCTAAGATGCATCTTGAGTGTCCAGGAGTGCAAGACAAGCGGACAAGGAAGTGCCTGCCTTCTTGTGCTGGACCTTGAAGCATGTGCAGAAACTGCTGGAATCCAGCGAAGACCGGCACGCTCAGCATCTCAGCCTGTGACCTTTTGCACCCTTCATGGCGAATTTGCTCACGGGACCTAGACAGACAGTCTCGTGGTCCCCCCAGGCAGATGCGGCGAACTCACCTCGTTCACCTAGTTCTGGCAGGCACAAGCCTATCCGGTCTACAGTGATAATACTATCAATGCGCATGCTGCTTCCGGTTATTCACTTTTCGGGAGTCCAAGTGTGTCATATGTATATACAATGTCAAAGACTTGACACAGTTTTGTCATAATCGCAGCCAAGCCTTGCCCCATCGATGGATCAGGTTCCTGCGAATTCTGGAGGCGAGGTACACATATTGCTGGCGCACTGATGCGCATCAGTCACGCGCAACACTTGACGAAAGGTCTCCCTCTGCATTTTGCTCTGGATCCCGGCGATGCGACGAATCTCTCCCGTCGCAAGTTAAGGCATGTGTCTTCGACAACTCGGATGAACCAGTAACCCACATGGAAGGCGGCAGTCAACTGTTCAACTACACCCCGCTAGTGAACAAATCCATGGATCTATCTCTTTGAACTTCCACCCTGCCCAGCAAAGAGTTCATCCAAGTCATCCGAACATGTCAAAGCCGTCATCGACAGGTTTGTTCACTTTCTCGGGTTCTGCTTCTTTCCTGCAGCTGGTGGCATGGATGTGGATTGCTCTCCCAAGCTAAGGTTTCATCTTGTCCAACTTCCAGAGCTGGGGCACTCGCTTGTCAGCTCTTTTTGCGAGGAGGCGCTGTAGCGGCTTCTCCTGAACCAGGCGGCAGCCCCATCTCGTTTAGATTGCTGCTCGACTGGATGTGCAAAGCCAACAACACAATCTTGCAGGCCGCCTGCCACCAGCACTGCAATGCCTTAGAAATGGCGGTTTGCACTTCGTGCTTCAAAGTCTGACAAAGATCGAATATGAGAAGGGACGGGAAGTGTCAACCGGTGCGGATGATGCGGATGTGCTAAGCAAATTACAAACATTGAGGTCACGTCAGGGCTGGACTTGCACACGTGGCATTGCAGACAGACTCGCAGAAAGATAACGCCGCAGAGTGAGGTCCTGCCTTCCTCGCCGTTAGCCCTTACTACCCACTCAGTCCAACGAAGCTATTCCCAGACAGGGGATGGGTGGTCCGATCAACCACCTGTACCTGCAAACATGGCCAGCCCAAAGCATCCCATAAGAATGCTGTTGCTTCATCGTCAGCCAATATCGTGTGGGCAAGAGTGGAGAGTTTGATTATGTTCCCAGGTGTTCCTTGGCTCATGCTGGCACACACAACAACTGTTACAGTCAATGCAGCTCAAGCACAGGCCAGCAGGCACACAGCAAGGCATACTTTTTGTATCTAGATCTCAAGTTGTTAAATCTAACCAGAGAGGGCGTTCAACTCGGCAAAGGTGCATGCGTGCGCGCGCATGTGCAGGTACTTGTATGGAGTAGGAAGGTAGGAAGACATCGGCATGGGTAGGCAGGTCTGACGGCTCTTGTAAAGATGCATTCTGCACGAGCTTGGATGCGTCCATGCATGGCATGTTTGCAGACCGTGCACATCGTGTACGAGTCTCGTGAGTCAGATCATTTCTGTTGATGTCTGCATGTCCCTCTGTCCGTCTGTACATACCTCTCGTCTGCATGGTGAGCTATGCATAGGCATTGATGGTGTATAGCAGATACGACAACCTGGAACTTGTGCTTTGTTGGCAGTGTACACGACATTGCCTGCACGTGCATGTAGGGTGATGGCTGAGATGCATGTACCTCACACGGAGAGCGTGTCAGGCAGACGATGTGTGTTTTGATGTCGCCCCCCGAGCTTCTAAAGTCAAGACAAATTCTGCAATACTTCTCCACCCTTTATGCCACACCTCTCTACACAACCAAGCCAAACGAACGAAAAGCTTGAATGCAGGGCCTGAATACCTGTTCGTCCTGAAAGGATCACAGTCCGGCGAGTCAATTTCAGAGTCACCCCGGTGACACCGTCGTGCCGATTTGAACTGGCATGCCTGTGCTCGACTTTTCACCGTCTCCTCAGTTTTCGCTGGTGTCTATCTACAGTGCCCGGCCAAGAAATCAAAGACCTCGACTAGGCTTGGGCTCGACATGGTTTCGGGCTTGGCTTGAGTCTCGCGTCCATGCATGCGGTAGGCCAAGCGACGATGAATTCGCTAGATCCATGGCATATTGCGCAGCTGAAACTGAGACTGCAGTTGCAGCTGTGCCACCTTGTTCCTGAAAGAACTGTTGTTCTCGCCCACAGATCAGCAGAAGTGAAAATTGCCCGCTTGTGCGCATGATCACACTCATCCCTGCGCAATGTGCTGACACTGTGACACATGCTCTTCGACATGCTCCAAACTATTGAAGCTTTTTTGCTGATTGCTGCAAGATCTGAGGACGAGGACCATGCACGCCAGCGAGTCACGATCCGGGCCTTGAGCCTGTGCCGTACGCACCACGGCCTGCATCCGGTCGGACCCAATCCATGTCAGACACGGAAGAAGCTCGATGGCTCGTCAGGCAAACTCTAGCTCGCCGGTCGTCCACAAGGCAATCTGCTGTGCCTTGCTGGCTGCCTCCCAACCATCAAGCCCTTGTGCTGGGCTACCCCAGGCCTCACGGACTGGCAGGGCATCTTCAGAACACAGCAAGCTTTGGTTTAGTCCCTCGCATCCAAGGCAACGTTGATGACATCTTGATCCTTGAGGACAGACGCCACCTGCTTGCGACCCGCATCCGGCGCTATCCAAGCTTGCAACATGCACCGACAACGCTACAGTGTGCAGTCCTCAGCTGAAAAGACGACGAGGAATGGCTCTTCGCCTGCTACACAGCGCCACCTGGGCCGCGGCCAAACTAAAGGCACCCCGGCGGCCGTGAGTTCTCACCGAGTGCCGCGCTCACGTACTTTTTTAACCTGTTGTGAGCGACATGTGGCAGACGGCTACCGGCGGTGGGCAGATTTGCCAAGATCCGCACTGAGGGTTGGCCAACCACCGGCGACCTCGTGGTCTTGAAAGGCCTGTCCGGCTACTGCCTTGTCCTTGTCTGCCACGCTGACGCATGTTGATGCTGTTCCATCATGTTCCATCTATCTTTTCCGTATCTGGCCGGCCTACCGCCTATCAGCCTCGAGGCTGGCATCCTGAAGATCTGGCTCGGTCTTGACTGACCCACCTCCACCGCTCCACCCACTCTCGGGCAATTTCAATGCTCTCAATTCTCAAAACTCTGCCTCCGCAAAGGAGACGTCGACCTTTCCTGAGTCAGTGACGTTGAACCCAACCTGAAGCAAGCCATCCGGTACACGGCCGATCCATGCCGATTTCAACATTTGCCTCTTTGAGAGCAGCGCTGGCCTGATCGGCAAGAGAATACCGCAAGTTTTACAAAATTTGAGCTGACGGCGTCTCAGGAGCCTTTTGGGTCGTATACGGCTCCACGACCCTCACCGGCACACCTGCATCTAAGTTCCGTCTGCGTGCGATTTCAGCACACCTACTAAAGATGTTCGGAACTGCTGCTACCTCACATAAGACATAAGGAACAACTTCCCTAGACTAAGAAGGCGTGAACTCATAACAGTGCCGGCGCTTGTGCCCTTTCTTGACAACAAGCCTGCTGAAACGACTAGATTTGCTGGATCAGGAATGGAGCCCATGTCGAAGACGCGACAAATCCGCCTTCGTGGCTACACAGGGCCACCACGGATGCACCACAGTTTGCAATCCAGAGCTGCACCTGGATCGCTGCGAGAGCGTCTGGATTCATGCCATTCCACGAACTACGAACAATGCCAGAAGTCTCTGGAGAGTACCAGCACTAGTCCCAGTTCTCGATGCTGACGAGAATCATGCCAGCTTACAGCAAGGCTCCCTGCAGAATTGTACACCCACATTTTGCAAACTGAGATCCAGACGCATGGCTGACCGGAAGCATTCAGAGCATGCACAAAAAGAGCGGCGGTGACCTGGCTCCAAGCAAGCCACAATTTCCAGAACTTCCACAACCGCCCTTGCTTGTAGCAGTGGCCAAGTATGGCCAAGTAATGGCCTGCAGCTTTTTGCGACAAGTTCTGTTTTGAGGGAGATGCCAGGTCCCTTAATAGCTCAGCAAGGGCATCTGCAATGCCTCGGCCCCGTCCGTAAGGCTCTTCATCTTCGCACGTTCCATGAACTCTGTCTCCAGCACCTGCGTTGAAGAACCCCACTTGCAACTCTCTGAGCTTCCATCTCTGAGTTTTGCTGCCCACCTCGAAGGCAGACTTCAAAGCTTCCTCAGCATCTGGCTTCTCCTGGGCGCATATGGCCAATCACTCACTCTATCACCCGAAGGCGGGGGGTTGGTCGGCCTCGTATGCCTTTGCAATGAATTTTGGCAGCTTCTCTTTGGCAAACCTGGCGGGAATGCACCTTTACGGTGTTAGAACCATCACAGGCAAATTTGCAGATTCAGCTCAAAACCAGGCAGGCGGGCGTAGCACACTCATTGCCTCGGGCCAGGTAGTGAAAGACACTGAGAGACAGCTGTGTCGCTCCCACTGAAACGTATGGCCGTTACCCTTTCCCACCGTCGCTGTGCATCCATGCGCCATTACGAAAACCTGACAGCAGCAGAATCAGCGGCATTGAACGAGTTATGATAAAGGAGGCAGCCTTTCCCAACTGAGGAACTGTTTCACCAAGGACGAAAGCGTCCTGCAAACACACCCGGCAGATGTCTAACTTGCATAAAAGCGCCAAGCTGCACAGTCCTGGTTGGCGACCGTGGCCGGCAAAGATTCTCCGTATCCCTTCAAAGCGTACCTTCATCAAGTTGCTACGATCCACGACTGAAATTCTCGAATCTCAGTGGTCACTGTGGTATCTCGAAGAAGTTTCGCCACTGCTCCTGCGCAAACACGGCACGGCTCGTGACTACTCACAATGTTGGGCTTGTGGGCTGAAGCCCTCAGCACACAAGGATTCACACCACTGTTTCTGGGGGCCTCGGAGCTCTTTGCGCTTAAGTCAGGATGGCGGCTGGCAGAAGTCTATGCTGCGTCAAACTGGATCGTGCCCTTTGGACTCAGTCCATCTTGATCTCTGAGTTTGTCTCAGTTTGGCAGTAAGGACAAGAGCTGGACGAAGTAACTGTGAAGTTGTTGTGACAAGAAGTACCAGTATGGGCTGCGGCCGCTAGGAGGATTTTAACTCGGACAGGCTTTAGAATGACCGGACGGTGCGCACGAGCATGACCTTCCGTGCTTGAAGCCTACACTTGGTGTCAAGCACTCTAGTATGCACCATCCGGGCATGCTGAGATGCAGAAGAATTGCGGAACGGAGCGGAAGCCAAAGTAGAAACCTCAGCAAAGCTTAGCAACCCAAGCCCAAACAACTCCTTGAGCTGCTGTCGGCGCTTCTTGGCCAACTGGGACGAGTTCTGGCGGACGCAAAGAATAGCAAAACTTAAGCACCAGTATCAAGAGACTGCGGCAACCTGCAAGGCGGGCAACGGCCACGTCTGGGAAACTATGTGGTATACCGCGCATGTTCTGCACCCCAGCTCCGCTATTTTGAGAACATTCCTACGGACAACAATACTTGATGAACGGTTGTCCAAAAGCCAGCATCTTCCCACTTTATGGATTAAACTTGACATGCTGCACAACTGCTGCACCATTAAGACGCGCAGAGGCTCGGCATTGAGTACTGCGCGGGTTGTGCAATGCTGGCTTGGCAAGGCAAGCAAAGTATGCGGCAAGAATTCCGTCGCGGAACGTTTTTGATGAAACGAAGCTGCAACCTGACAACCGGTAGTGTTGAGGACAATGTTCGAAACGAAGAGTATTAGGTCCCAGATCACCACACTGATTCTGCAAACCCAAGAGGTTTCGAGGTCTGACTGCCAGCACCATTCATGAAGGCACGCATTTTGGTTAGCAGGCTTAGTAGGAGCAGTTACATGCAAGCATGCGCCTGCTTCTAACCAGACCGCTCGAGGCCTCTTCGGGCTTTTCCTGCGATATCGGGGTGCCATCAGGGTTTCGCACGTCCTGCAGCCACAAGTCGACGACAGCGGGTGGCACTACTCAAGCTCCAGTGCTCCTCACACCATGGCTTGCCACGGTTCTCTCCGCGTAAGAAGGAAACCTGCGCAGACGTCGACATCAGGTGCCGAACGTCAAATCCTGGTTGGCCTTCTGGTCTTTCTCCAGCATGCGGAAGCCAGGAGCAATAATCTGGGACTGGTGCACGAAGATTTTCTCCTGAGCCACTCGGATCCTTGACTGCCGTGCGCCGAGGCAGCAAGAGAACAGCAGGCGCCTTGTCCGCATCTAAGATGAAACCATACCCCTTGCCCTTGTCGTAGTCCTGGCATCTCGTTCGCTGCCATTTTCGAAGGATCTCCAAAACGTGGCGGCTAGGCAAGGACCGTCCCGATCTCTCGTCCCCGCGCCTGCTGTTTGTTGAGCCGTGAAAGGTGCGGACTCAACGGTTTAGAGTTTAACGGTGATAAAGCTCGCGTTAGAAAAGGGACCTTGGGAGTGCTCCTATCACAGATTTTGCCTCCTGCCATTACGAGGTGTGAGCTATGCAAACGTTCCTCCGCCGCAAGCTTGTATCGTTCGCCGAAAGAAGAAATGAATGCTCCGGCTCAGCGTCTCGAGTTCCAGGGAGTCTTGGCACCTCTTCCTAGCAGCCTAGCGTCTTTTGAACCTGCCTCACAAGCGACTACAAGACCAGCTCGGTTCATGTTCGTGCATCTGATATTGTCTAGTCGATTCGTGTTGACTTGCGAGCTGTCGTTGATGAAAGCTTCTGACCTCCAAGAGTGACCACTACTTTCCTTCTTGTGCAGAGTAAGAGATGCCAAAGGCCGGCAGCTAGCTCTGCCACAGCGAAAAGTAAAATCCATCGTGGACCCTAGCCTGCTTTTACTGCATTTCCTGATGCTGGACATGGGTATAGCAGAACAAGCAGAATACCCTCTACTGCCGAATCCATAGGCTACAGTACGTAGACTACCTTGCTTCCGGTTGAGCACATGTTGGCCTGCTTCTGCTTTTCCACCACCTTGTCGACAACAGTTGCAGCCTGATGCTACGCACAGGATGTTCACAACCCTGGGAACCTCCTGTTGCCTCGAACTGCCGCTTCAGTGCGGGATTCATGGCTCAGAACAGCGCGACGGGTCAAGGTGTTCAAGTCCAAGGTGGGCATGCACTCAAGATACTAATCTTTCATTTACAAATGGCTCGGACCGAGCTAGATACGGGTGATAAGCTGCCCATGCATTGCGAATCTTGTCTAAAATGTTTGCAAAGCCTCAGCATGGACCGGAATGACTGCTTTGAAGACTGCAAGAATAGAAGACCCGATCTAATTGTGGTGTTCAGCTAAAAGCTCTCTACAACTCGTGCAGCATCTGCTTTTAAGGACTGCAACACTCCAGCGGTGGTCCTGAAGGCTGCGATTGTTCGTGCTCAGCCACCAACACATGCCAACGCGACACTCTGCTGGCAACGGCAGGGCACACCCCTTGCCGGAGTGACGGCCCCTTGCCGGAATCCTGACACTTCTTCAGCAGCTTTAGCAAGATCCCCTCACGATGAAACAGTACTCAGGTACTCCTGCTCTCTGCGCCTTTTGCTGCCGACATGGTCCTTCGGACGCTCAAAGCGCGCACGTGTGTGGAAGGCTCCGCAAGTCTCCGCAACCTTCGCCTCCCGCCTCGGCATGTGGTGCAGAGGCAACTGGCCCATCCTCCTTGCGAAGAAAGCCATGGCATCATCGTGCATGCTTGAGGGTGGCATACGGAGGCGCGGATGCTGCTCCTTCTGCTGCAGAGATCTCGGCGGGGGTAGCGGCACAGCCTGGGAAAGGAGCAAGAGCACCGTCACTACTCAGCTCTATCATGCAGATATGCTCCGGATGCACTTGGGCATTTTCCTGTCTGGCCCCCTCTCTGATGGTCGCTGTAAACTCTCGGAACAGATATAGTTTCATGCACATTTCAGGAGACTGGGAGTAATTAGGAGCGGCTTCGTGCAGCCAGTACCCAGGGCGAAGCTTCCTTACTCAAACTAAACTGCCATCGCACATCATGAATCCACAACGCGAATCCACAATGCCTGCCCGACGAAACGCTCGGTGAGCCACCGTGCTAACTTGTACCAATGCTTTTGCATTCAGGCTCACTTGTTAAATTCTCCTTTGCAGGATACAGGCCTTGAAAGTCCAGGCCTAGGCCAGATCAGAAGGCCACTGCCACTGCCCAGAGCACTGTTTAGAAAATAGATCTGAGTAGCCGTGCTGGCTCTGCGGGCATCCTGCTCGAATTCGGATCAAGCGGCTGTGTTGAATTTAAACCAAGATGAACTTGAAAGGAGCCGGGCAAACCCATGCCCAAATCCCCATGTGCTCATGAATCTCAGTGGATTCGCACTTTCAGTATTATTGGCTGAGCAGATGCCTTCACTCAGGATCTGGAAGCAAATCAGTCGCTACTGTTCCTGGAGGCAGAGTTCAGCAGCAGGAAGTGCCGACGGCAACGTCTGCAACATCTATCTCCGACTGAGCAGGCCTGACTCCTCCCGCGAAGATCTCGAACACACTCTCGCTCTCGGGCAGACAGGGCGAATCATAGATTTTCCTTCGGGGCGGCCGGAAAGTTGCTGGAGAAACATGCGGCACCACAGAAAAACACTGCATGAAGATTGTCGTTCCGACGAGAAGCGCGATGCGCTGCTCTGCACGGCCCTTGCGCAGCATGATGCGAGTGGTGGAGAAGTGCGCCAGGATGTGGCCACCGACAGGCTTCGGGTGGCTCGGCATGAAAGCGCAGCCGCCTCCTCCAAAGAGCACTGCGATCGTCGGTGAGCTCGGAGCTTCTACCCTCACAGCTACAAGTACTGTGCCACTGTGCTACTGCTGCCATCCGCTGCCGCAGCGTTTGCTTCATATTACCTCCTGTCGACGAGCTTCTTGCAACGATCACAAGAGGTGCCTGGATCAGCCATGACCTGGTTGGTCAGGACGACGGCAACATTGAACTCCTACCGCCGCAGAACACGGGCAGGAGATTTTTCGGGCACAGCTCACTCTCAAGTTGGGATAGAGCCGACTGAACATCGAATTCGTTAAACTCCTCGCTCACCTTTTGCAGCTTGCTCATCACTCCTAAGGGCAACGTGCTCGTGAGTATTTCTTATTATTAGTACTCTCGCCACTGCATCTGAAGCTGACAATGGATTACCGCAATGCCGTCAAGAATCGTGCCAGCTTCTGCTGACGGTCTGCCAGCTCTCCTTTAACGTTCACTTGGTCTCAGCGGATCCGTGAAGTGGTGCAAGTGCCATACACGCCGCACTGCGCACCTCGCCCGGAGTAGTCCACGCGGAAGCCACCCATGATGGAATCAACAATCAAGAGTGCAAAGCCTTTGCTGCGGAAGCTTCTTCCGAGGCAAGCTATGAGTGCAAACACTCAGCACTGAAGTTCGTCTGCATGTATCAGGTCAACCAAGTTACGATCCTCGTCATTCACCATGAGGCTAGCTGCTTCAAGCAGCAACTGTTCGAGGTGATCGGAGGTGTAGCATCTAGCATATACGATGTTGTTCATTGCGGCCTGGGATATAAAGCAGGAGTCACCACGAGTCAGTCTTCAAGACAAAGAGCACCGCAGTGGATCCCTCGTTCCTGCCTCAGCGGACACGCCCTTGCCTTCGGCAATCTGACGGATCCGTTCAGGTCTGAAGGTGCCTTCTGTGTCAATGTACACAACCTCGAGGTACCGTTTTGTGCACTGCGTCGCATGCTGATGAAGATCGGCACGCTTGATCTGCTGCTGAGTCTTTGAGGGAGGCACCTTGCCGTTTGCACCACCCATATTTGGAGGTAGCTGTGCCATCACCGAGAGCGAGTGGCAGACTTGTGTCTTTCCACACCTGCCAGTCACCAAATACGGATGGCTGTGCCGAGCACGAGTGAATCCCGTCACGTCTCTCTATGCTGTGCTTGCATATTGCGTTGTGCGCCAGAAATCCACTTCAGAAAAGCCTGGCCTGAACTCGCCAAAGAGCTCAGTGATCGAGCAGCTTTCCATGCCCCCCCCCAGCCTGTCGGGTCTTTTGAAGTGGACAACCGGCGGAAAAGTCTTCTAGATAGGGTTGGGGTAATGCAGAGATTGCGGACTAGGAGCATCTGGTCAAGCTTCGCTGCGCCGGTTGAGATCTGGAAACGATTTTTCATCTTGCTGAGGAGCTGAGTACAGGTGACAAAGCCTGCCTGGGCCCAGACACATTTTCCAATCCGCAGCAGCACAAGTCAGAATTTTCCCGCATGCCGCCTCGCTCGATTTCCGCGCAGCCTCTATGATCTTATCCACCTTACAAGGCAACCCAGCACTGTTCGGGAACATGAAACTCAAATTCGGCAGATGAGCACCCACTGACATACTCCGAGCCTTCTGATCGGAGAGGCCCTTGATGTTCAACAGATCTTTGCGCATCGCGAAAACGACCGACCTACATCGTGCCAGAGACTAGTACCATCCGGCTATCCTGCGACATGATCCCGCGTGAGGGAGCGGCTGACTGGTGTTGTAACCAGCCTTAGCTCAAAAACTGTTAACTGTGTACCGCTCTTGAAGAATGACAAGATGCCCTTCGCGATAGCCTTTAGCCACGAGGTGGCTTTGTTGTAAGCAGCCGACATCTTTAAGCTTCTTCAGATCGGCGGCATTAATGCCTGCATCCTTGCATATGAACTCATGCTTTCTTCGGTCAGTGTGATGATACAGCGACTCAGGGCACATTGCAAGCACTAGTCGCTAGTTGGGTACAGTGATAGACTTGTCAGTCCATAACAGATGCGACACTGCCTCAAGAGCAAACATGAGAAGGACTCTGAAAAAGAGAGCACCCTCTGGCCGGTTGCCTGTACCTCCCGAAAACCGCAGGGGCTCCTGAAGCTTGTCGATGAGACTGTAGGGCAGCTCTTCTTCTTGGTAAACATCTTCCTGTCACGAGCCAGCTTTACAAAATTCTTACTGAGGCCTGACCGAATGAAGTGATGCCTGCACTTCCGCAATTTTCCTCTTGGCTTGACCCACCTCGGCCATGACCTCGGAGATAGCACAAAGCTCAGCACTTCACTTAGGGGCAACTGTGGGAACTTGATCAAAGCTTCTTCCAGCAAACTCCAGCGGATGGTTCTTCTCTATCTCACAGAGCTCAGGCAATGGCAACACACGGCAGGCGGATGTGGGGTCAAAGAGACAATATTTGCCAGCCGCAATTGAGCCAAACTCAATTGTCGCTGAAGAGTTGCGCAGAAGCAAGGGCACGCAGCAATCAAAACAACTCAAGCGAGTGCGAGTGAGCCTAACCACGCTCACTCGACTTAGAGCCGGACAGGCATAGGTGCCTCCACAGCAAGCAGTACACCGCCGGTACTATGTAGCAAAGGCGTAAGGCTACAAAGAAGATCCGGCCTTGGCCAGCAATCCCTCAGGTGGGCCTGCGACAGAACCGGCCTTGCCAGTGGTACCTCGTGGGCTTCAAACATGTTGCCTATCCCCCGACCCCGTCAACCACCGCAACCCCGAGACACCCCTAGACCCGGTCCGGACAGCACTCGGGTCGACGGTGTGTCCGCGTGTGTCTGTGTGTGTGTGTGTGTCTCCCTCTTTCGCGCTTGCTTGGTCTCTCACCGTCGGCCCGTTTGCATGTACGTGAAATCAAGCGCTTGATGGTTGCAGGGTTAGATCCCACCTGCTGTGCACGTCGAAGTGCTCTTTTGCAATGCCGGTGGGGGTGCCAGGATCTGCGCCTCGGTCGGCTTGGGGCTGCTCGGCAGCTGCATGAATTTTCGAGTCAGGTCAAACGTCGAGCTCGCCTTGACCATAGCAGGCGGTGGCGGCGTCTTTGCCTGTGCTCGCCGGAAAGAGCTTTGACAGCGAACCTGGCATGCACCACCCGCCTCCGCTGCCACGATGCCTGCGCCCATAGTCCGGGCTTTCGTAATTATGAAGTCATATTTTGAACCACCAACTCCTGTGAGAATCGGATATGCCTGTGGGGCTACGCCCTCGCAACAGCATGCGATACAACGCACAAAGAACACTTCCTGATTTAGACGTTAGAGTCCGTTAGAGGTATTTCTGACGGAAACAGTGGAGCAGTGGCACCTTTGCCAGCAGACTTCTGCGACCAAGAACCAGCGCCTGAACAAAGGAGCAAAACTGCGAACACCAAACATGCCGACATCGCAACATCCTCAGAAGCTGCGCAACATTTAGGTCTGCTGCTGTCTGACCGTGCTTGCCCTTTGCCTGCGCAGCATTTCCAGCCGAAAAACGAACTTGCTTGACCGCTTGCATCTCTCTCTCGCTCTCCTCTCTCTTGCTTGCTTGCTCGCTTGCACGACGTTTGGGCAAGAGGGGGTAACCTCTCTCTCCTCTCTCTCTCTAGAGAGAGAGAGGGAGACAGAGAGAGAGAGAGACAGACAGGTTAGGAGGACGTATCAGCTCACAAAAACGGATCACGAAAGGGGGTCAGGTCAGGAGAAACGGAGGAAGCATCGGCTGTGGCTTTGTATGAAGTGCAAGACGTGAAGAGCAAGAAGTCTGAACACGATGCTTGTGAGCCAATCAGTCTAGGATGTTCCCTCAAACCTTGTGTCTGCCTGATCTGATAGGTCCCATCGTGTGATGCGATTCGCCGAGCCGTCTCCTTGATTCTGACCCCGCGGCACCTGATACACGCGGCTACTCTCTCTTGCTTGCACGCAGCCAGAAGTAAGTAGGCCGTAGGCGCACTGATTACTATGCGTCTCTCTTCCTCAGCACAGCTAGAAGGACGTCGCGTCTGCTACGCCTTGCGCGCGATTTCGCGCACTGGGAATTAAGTGCAGTGTGAATTCTCTCTCTCTTTCTTTCCCCAGGCTTGACGGCGTGCCCTTGCGGGAGCAGCCCGTTCGGTTGGAGGAACGCACGGTGTTACGTGGGACAGACAGGTCGGGCACCTCTCTTGCTTGCTTGCTTGCAAGGCCACTGTCTGAGTTTGGTGTGAGACTTGGGTTTTTGCGTTCGGCCAGGCCAGGTTTCCCACACTGTGCCCCCTGTGCCCCCTTTACAAAGCTTACGGGGCTTTGTCGACCCCGCCTGGCCGCGCACGCAAGCGTCTGTACTGTGTCCGTAGGTTTTCTACGGCTTGCCTTTTTGTCCGGGCACCTCTCTTCTTCCGCCGGGCATGAGGGGTTGGTTAGACCCCCCGGCCACTAGGGCCCCCCCGGGCACCTCTCTCTCTCTCTCTTTGCTTTGCTTTGCTTTGCTTTGCTTTGCTTTGCTTTGCTTTGCTTTGCTTTGCTTTGCTTTGCTCTCTCTCTCTCTCTCTCTTTCTCTCTCTCTCTCTCTCTCTCTCTCTCTCTCTATCTTGCTTGCATACGGCCACGGAGAGTGCACGCACCCCCCGCGCGCAGGCGCGCACCGATTATCCAAGTCTGTTCGCTACGCACTCTTCCTGGTAAGGCGCGGCCTGGTCCCACGAAACCTAGCCCTTTACACTACCTACGTAACCCCTGCGCCTCGTCGGTTTCCTCCCTTTTTGGGGGTTGTGCTGGCTCTGTGGTTGCTCTGTTACGGCTACCGTCGGGCTCGCCCACTTCGCTGGACGCGCAACTTCTCTTGCTTGCAATGTCTCTGCGGGGCGTGAAGAAGGCAGCGGTCCAGCCACTCTTCCTCTTCGTCAGGGCACAAAGGGCCTGGCAGGGCTCTTGGCCACATGCGCCGCCCACTGTAATGGGGCTTTGAAGGGGAGTGATACTACGATTGATGTTTCCCCGAGGTGTGCATGTCTTTTATGTTTGATTGAGCTATATGTGACTTGGAGGGCATCGACCGGTGGATGACAACTGCATGATTTTGGGACACAACCTTGCCACCTGTTTTATCCCTCCGACCGCATAAGCTCCACCACACAGAGTCCAAACCAAGACATCCCGCATAGAAGGGGCATGTATCTCCTGGTCGATGTCAACATCGTGAAGGCCAGAAACTTTAGCCAATCCTGTACTTCCTGGCCTTCACATGACTTCGACACTGGTTCTTCCTATCTGGCTAGAATCGTGGCACATAGTTAGGCGATTCTACAGAAGAAGCAACACCTGAAGTAACATAAACCCCAGCCGCTCTCTCTCTCTCTCTCTCTCTCTCCCTCCCTCTCTCTTCTTCCACCTGCATTCCGTTACTAGCTTACTCGCGTACATCATGCATGCACATCTCCAAGGCGGCCCCCTCGGGGAAGCCGGTCTGCTTCAAAGGGCGCTGGCTCACCTGCTGCAGCGCAAGGACGCCGGCGCCCTCAGTGAGCATCGTTTACTAAACGACGCCTGATGGCGGCTCATGCTTCTGGCCGCGCTTGCATTACCAGCAGGACTGCGTGGAGCTGCTTATGTTCTTGTTAAGCCGCCAGGATCTTCCCTACACGACCTGCTACTGGGAAGCAAAGCCGGCTGCTGGTACGGTCGAGGCAAGGCGGCCTCGTGTGACGGGCTCAACGTTTGCTGAGCTTACCCCGCCACGCACCGACAATCGGAACTACAGGATCGGATTCGATCCTGGCATACACAGCAGGCTCCACATGGCTTGACTGCAGCGCCACCTTTCCTACTCGTGAGTTTGGCACGGTAGCACACCCAAACCCTGCTACTACTAAGGCTTCACTGGCTGCAGGCGCCGTGTCGGCCCCTTCGGGGTGCCGTGACATTTCGGCCCGTACGGCCCTACTAGGGCGCGACGACAGCTTGCCGGCGAGAATGAATCACCATACTCATCAGTATACCGTCGACTCTAATTGTTATGTTCTCTGCTTTCAGCTTGTGCCTTGAGCTGTCTGCCAAGCGGTGCAGTACTTGTAAATGGCAAACGAAGGTTTGCGCACAGTTCCCGAAGTACTACTTTCAGTCGTAGGTTTGACGATGTGGGAATACCACAGCCCACAGCCTATGGCCGTGCCCATGTCACTGGGCTACACCCAGTAGCCGCGCCAGGGACCCGAGGGAGCGGTTCTGCGTTCGCAAAGTCAAAAAAGTCTCTTCTTCCACACAGCCAAAGGAGAAGGCTAACCCCCCTCCCCGCGCGCGCGCGCGCCCGCGCGCTCTCTCTCTTCTTCTTCTTCTGCGTCCAAACCCCCCGGGCACATGGCCCCCCCATGTGTTATGGGGCATTGAGGGAGCGCTCTCTCTCTCTCGCGCTCTCTCTCTTTCTTTCGTCGGGGCTGGGGTTCCCTCTCTCTCTGCCATGGCAAGGAGAGTTAAACGTTGCGGCCTCTGTCAGAGCCCGCCGGCGTCTGCTCTTTTCCCTTGCCTTTGCCTTCGCGAGATGCGTCTGTGTTCAAGGCAGTTGAACCACAGCTTGGGCAGAGGCCAGGGCCAGTCATCCGGCCGCCTCCCGAGAGCGTAAACGTGGCTGCTGCAGATCACTGGAGGAATGATGCACTCTGCCTTCGTCAGGGTGGCCGGATTCTTGAGGAGCGTGCTTGCCTCGAAGAATGCTCATGCAAGTACGAGTACTTACATGAATCCAAATTTGAATCCGAATCACTTTTCCGGCATCTGCTCTGCCATGTTTAACAGCAGATGCAGTTTGGTGCTCTCAGCCCCGAAGAAGCCTGCGCTGTCTATCCCTTGCTCAATTGCCTTTCCCCGAGTTTTGGCATCCAGCAGGTACGCTCTACGGCTGAGGCCAAGGCCAGGCATCCCCTTGGTTGAAAAACGGCTGAAGGGCGTGGCCAGGTGGCTCGGCTCCGGAGGGCCTGATGCGAGCAGCCACTTCGAGTTCGGATCCTCTAAGTCAAGGTCAAAACGAGGCAGCCGCCGGCATCCGCGTGTTTCCCTTGCCCTGACCAGACTTCGGGTCTGTGCTACCAGTAGGCAGAATGTGCTGCGCCCTTTGGAAACAAAAGGCTCAGGCCGCCTTTCGGAGTGGATTTGCCCGTGGCACCACCTGGCGGAGCAGAGTTTTCTCAGGAGTGCAGCGCAGCTGAGTGCTACATCCGACATCCGAAGGCTGAGCCAAGCATGAACATTCTCGCCTTCAAGCGTCGGACCTCATGCTCAGGTCTGGAAGGGTTGAGCAGAAAAAGAAATGCGCCGAACATGGAAGCAAGCTGACTAATGGTAGCTCTACATCTCAGCTTGAAGCCTTTCGCCCCCTTCGCGGCGAACTTGAGTGGAGGGCCTGGGAGCGTAGTGGCTGGCGGCTGGAGAACTAAAGCGAGAAGACACACCCCAAAGGTACTGACCAAGCTGCCCCATCGGCGAGTCAGGGTCCTGCGCACTACGGGGGGAACACCGAACGTTCTTTGCCCCTCGCGCTCTGCAAACCCTCACCATCAGTCGCTGGACGAAACTATTATCATGTCCTTTCCTAGGTGTTTTCGTTGGAACAACTACTGAAGTATGTCCCACGTAATGGACGCCCCTTCCACTCGACATAATAGAAAGCAAGTTGTTTCGCGTGTCTGCCAGAGTACCATTGCAGTCTGTCCTGCTCTCTGTGCCGTTTAGCTCCGATCTCCTGGCGATGCTCGTAACATGCAACCCCAAACAGCTCCAGCTTCACCAAATCTGCCTCGGCGTTTGGTGCTGGGGCAATTGCCGCATCCTCCTGGAACAGAACTCAAAAAGCACATTCATTGCTTCATTCATCTTCGTGTAGCACGCATGCTGAAAGTTGTCCTTCTGCCGCAAGTGCTTCGGCAACGGCAGCCGCCCAACCTTGGAGGAGGCGTCAAGAATGAAGAAATGGCCACGAGTAGGTGGTGACACTCGCATCCTGAGTCTCCATACCAATTAGCAAGTGTACGTGTATTGAGCATGACTCGGGAAACAAAGGCCCGGTAGGGAAGGTCACAAGGGCGAGGGTCAAGACCCTAAACTGGGCGAACTGGTGTGGAGCCAAGCTGTCATCGACCTAAATTGGGAATCGAAATGCATAATAACCGCAAGTTTGATATTGCTAGAGACGGAGTTGTTGATCTCGCCCCTCCCAGCACATCTTTGCTGGGTGTCTTGGCCAGTTACAGTGCAGGCCCATAGCTGGCGCACAGGGAACCAGGAGTGGGGCTTTTTGCTGCGGCTTCCGTCAGCTTCAGCCCTGGCTTGATCATGCCGGCGGTCACCGTGAGGCTGAGCGCCGGACGCCTCGCGCTGACGAGCCGGGCTCGCGATCGCTTGGGAAGGACCTTCGTCCGAGCAGTGCCAGTGCAGCGCTTTGAGATGTTCCGCCCATGGTCGCTGGCTCTCAGAACTCTCCACTTCAAGGATCCGGCTCCTGCCGCATTTGGCGCGTGAACACGCTGGCATGGCTGTCCTCCTGACCGCCGACCCTGGGCCGCGGCAGTGGTGTGACGCAACTCTCACAAACCTCCGTGCTGTCAGAACATGTCAGAACCTCTTGCTACGCCCCCTGGTGCAGCCAACACGCCTCTGCCGCCCCAGAACGGGTGGCGGTGCCTGGCGCCCAACAACTTCCAATCTCAATCAAACCTGCCACCTGACCATCCTTGCAAGTTCCCTTGTGCTCACGCTACTGCCCGTCTGCTGCTGTGGTTGATTTCCTCTATCCCAACTCGTCAGCTTGCCTCTCCAGCGACCGGAGATGTCGCGGCAGTTGGCCTCGCAGTTGGTCTGCGGTTTGGTTCTGCGCCTCTGCCCTGAAGACTTGGTCTAAGACGCTAAAAGCCAAAAACGCAATCAGCAAACTCTCGGAATTGACACCTTCGGGCCCACCCAAAACAAGTCCGAAGGCAGACATGGCGATGCTCCGAATTGCTGAATTGCATAGCGAAAATCATAGGCCCTTCGGCCTACCCCTCTTCTTCCCTCCCTTCGAAACACTTTTCATATTCGACGAAAGGAAGGTTTCGTGTGGAAACTTCATGCCTTTTGCGCAGATGCTCGGCTGGCGACGGTGTTCGGAAGACGCTGCTCCCAGAAGGGCCTGCACCTTGAGTTTTGGGCGCCACCCGCACCACGCCCCTTTGCAACTCCGGCTTTGATGAAGTACAAATGCACAGCTCTGTCCAAGAGGAAGAGGCACGTGACGGAAGCAAGAGACACGCGCACATGGGGAGGCGCCTTTGGCGGCAAACTTCTGTCCCAAGGAGTAATCACCTTCAAAAGAAACAACAAGGACGACCGTTTCCTGATAGATGTTGGCAGCTTTCAGGTGGCGGCTGTCCAGCTGCGGCGGCCCCTTGCCTGCAAACACGCGGAGATGAAGTGCAACCGACTGTTCTACAACTCACTTATACTCACTTATACTGACTTAGTGTGTTGCTGCTCCGCTCAATACAATAGAACAACACGGAAAGAACTTTGGTGCCTCTTTCGGCATCCGCTGGTGGCCGTCCTTTGCCTTCAGACCAAACTCCACACTTAGTCCGGATTCTAGTCAAGGCAACCCGAACTTAACCCCTCGCCAGCTTGGGCACTGGCCAGTCGTCGGCTTACCTCCAAGAAAAAACAGATTCAAATTGAAGTTGCCATTGATGGGCGCTGCCTTGGTCGCGACCACTTTCTTGTCCAGCAGGTTTACCTTTCAAGGTGTTTGTCGCGACGCTGCAGTCACACAGTCATGTGGCGAAGACCACTGATCCAAACCGACTACTCGTAAGCGCAAATGCGCGTGCGCGCACTGTCACTACCTGGGCCTCCGATGCAGGAACCTACCTGATTAGGATAGGAGAATTCGTGTCGGGTGTGTCTGCCTCCGTGAGCATTACATTGCATCAGGTGAGTGAGTGCGCGAGTGAGTGAGAAAGGTTGCAAGGGCAGCGATGGGGATTCAGAGTTGCGCATGAGTGAGTGAGAGTGTGAGAGAGTGCGAACGAGAGAGAGCGAGAGAGAGAGAGAGATATAGGTAGATAGATAGATGGAAGAGAGTGAGTGCGAGCCAACGAGCAAGTAAGCGCGAGAGCGAGGGCGGTAGGGGAGGAGGGGAGGGGAGGGACGAAGGGACAGAGGGGGGGAGCCGGAGAGAGAGAGAGAGAGAGAGAGAGCAGGCGACATGCAGACAAAAAGACTCCGCTCAACAAGACATAAGCAGCGTCACCCTTCCCTGAGGCACTCCTGTCATTTGTGACTCCCTATTTCTGTCATTTGTGACTCCCTAGGTTCCTGGGTCTGGCCTAGGCAAATCCCCGTCATTTGTGACTCCCTCCGCCTGCCATCACCACACATCACCTCACCCGAAAGTGCTCATATTCATTGGCAGGCCTGTGATTTCCTCTCAAACAAGCACCTGTCATCTGTGACTCCCGACCCTTTTGCCTTGCTTGTCAATGTGGTTTTCACACAGCAACACCGGTCATCTGTGACTCCCTTACTTTTCCTTCTTCTGGTCATCTGTGAGCACTCCTTAAGGTCTTCGTCTTGGGTGAAAGGTTCTTCTTGGATTCACCCCTTAGGATTCCCTCTTCGGCAAAAGGTTCATGCTGGATTCAGTCCTTAGGGTCTTCGTCTTCGGTAATAGGTTCCTGCTGGGTTCACTCCTTAGGGCCTGGGTCCTCCTCAGGGCCTGGGTCCTGCTGGGTTCACTCCTTAGGGTCTTCGTCTTGGGTGAAAAGTTCTTCTTGGATTCACCCCTTAAGGTTTCATCTTCGGCTAAAGGTTCCTGCTGGGTTCACTCCTTAGGGTCTTCGTCTTGGGTGAAAGGTTCTTGTTGGATTCAACCCTTAGGGTTTTTGTCTTCGGCACTGGGTCCTGCTGGGTTCACTCCTTTTTGTCTTCGTCTTGGGTGAAAGGTTCTTCTCAGATTCACCCCTGCTGGTTTCATCTTCGGCTAAAGGTTCATGCTGGATTCACTCCTTAGGGTTTTTTCGTTTTCGGTAAAAGAATGTTGCTGGGTACACTCCTTAGGGTCTTCGTCTTGGGTGAAAGGTTTTCTTGGATTCACCCCAGAGTTTTTCGGGTCAAAGGTTCTTCTTGGATTCACCCCTTTGAGCGTCATCTTCCGCAAAAGGTTCATGCTGGATTCACTCCTTAGGGTTTTTGTCTTCGGTAATAGGTTCCCGTTGGGTTCACTCCTTAGGGTCTTCGTCTTGGGTGACATGTTTTCTTGGATTCGCCCAACAGGGTTTCATCTTCGGCGAAAGGTTCCTGCTGGCTTCACTCTTTTGGGTTTTTGTCTTCGCTAATAGGCTCCTGCTGGATTCACTCCTCAAATTCTGCGCTGAAAGGCCGAAAGGCCCATCTTCGGCACACGATTCCTGCTGGATTCGCTCCTTAGGGTTTTTGTCTTCGGTAGTAAGTTCCTGCTGGATTCACTCCTTGTTGCGGGTTTGTTAAGCAGTACTAGAGGCGTATTATATGTGTATATATATATGCGCCTATATATATATATATATATATATATATATATATATATTGTATAAAGATATAAACATATATGCGCTCATAACACATTATGTATTATGTATTATATTTTATACTATATATTATATACTATATATTATCTAATATTTTTTTAATATTATATATGATATATATATATATATATATATATATGCTACCCCCCCCCCCCCAGGACCTACCTCGAAGCCTTCCGCGACCTTACCCTGAACACATCAAAACTCCAATAAACATGTTAAGTATTGCCCCATACTTCTTCTCTGCAACGACATGAACCCATCAAAACCGAAATGATTATGTTAAGTATTGCCTAGCACTCCTTTATCTACACCAGCTTACAAAGACATAAACCCGTAAAAACCAGAATAATCATGTTAAGTATTGCCTAACACCCCTTGTCTGCAACGATCTATAACGATATAAACCCATTAAAACCAAAATAATCATGTTAAGTATTGTCCAACACCTCTTCACTGCAACTACATATACCACACAATGCCATAATAATCATGCTAAGTGTTGCGTAGGACTTGTTGATATTACAAAGACATAAGCCCGTTAAACTCCGGATAGTCATGCTAAGTATTGCCAAACGCCTAAACCTAAACCAACAAAAAACTGAAATATCTCTTTGTTGCGTCTCGCCAAGGCACCTCGAATAAGGGAGGGAGCTTGAGGATTTAGGGATTTTCCTAGACAGATGCTCATGATGCTACACTGGAGGGCTTAAGCACGGCGCTTTTCCTTCTCTCATATGCATGTCCTGCCGTCCTACTTTCGCAGGAGTGAAACTTCTGGCACTTCCTCCGTATATGGCAGTGCATTCTGAATATTACGCAAAGTAATATTGACATAGGCCGGCAAGTCAGCACAACACTCCCTGCACAAGCCCGAGCATGTGCTACGACTCCAGCCCTTGCGCGCCAGGTGACGCTCATACACATTGTCATTTCCCAGCATCCTCTTGAGTATGATGCCACAACACGTTGCAGCACACACGCTTCTATGCCTACCTGCAATGCACTTGAACACGAAGTCACATTCATGCTCACGCAAGCCTAACGTGAGCGCTCTACCTATTATCTGTCTGAACGACGCATTCATCAGCAGCTGCACCATCATTCTTGGATTCCACCCTATATGACCTCTCAGGTTGAGATCATGTCTGGTTGACGGATCATGGAAGCGCCTGAGATCCACGATCACGCATGGCCCGAAGGGCCCTATGTCGATATCCTGGCCGGTTGTGTAGATGGTAGTGTATCGAAGAGGCGGATGATCTGGTTCTGCAGGTAGATGATCTGGTTCTGCAAGTAGATGATCTGGTTCTGCAGGTAGAGGTCGCGAAACAGAAGGAACTTGTACTGCTTTGGGCGGTGTTACAGGAGCAGGAGAAACTCGTGCTGGTTCTGCAGGTAGAGGTCGCGAAACATGAGGAACTTGTACTGCTTTGGGCGGTGTTACAGGAGCAGGAGGAACTCTTACTGGTACTGCAGGTAAAGCTCGTGCAACATAAGGAACTTGTGCTGCTCTAAGTAGGGTTGCAGGAACAGTAGAAGCTGCTTCTTTCGGTACTGCAGGAGGAGCAACCCCAACAGCAGCTCGTCTTGGTGGAAGAACAACTACAGGAGCAGAGCGCTTAGGGGGAGGCACAACCACAGCAGTCACGCTCCGTGGAGGAACAACCACAGCAGGCACGCTCCGTGAGCGAGTTCTACTTTCGCCTAAGACTGGCGCTCTCGACTTGCTTGTAGTTGCGAGTACTCGTCCAGCTGGTAACGGCTGCCCGGACATGAAGGCACTAGATGACACTAGATCACTACTACTCTCTACACAGCTTAAATTCATCACTATACCGTGCAAACACAAAAAAATACCCTACTCTGTATCATATCTCTGTCTGATTCTCTCCCCGATGTCTTTGTTTTT